TGTGTGATGAGATGGAGGAAGTATGCCTGAGCACTGCTGCTGGACACCGGAACACAAAGGGGGCCTCAAGGAGAGGCCACATGCCCGTCACCTTATCTTTACCTCCACTACAAACGTGTAGATGATGTGCTCCCGGGGGAGGAACCAGTGGGCTACTTCCTCTTCATCCATCACTGGTGCTAGATGAAACTGCTTCAGGTAACTGTTGCTTAATTCTCGAACTGCTTTGATATCTTTCGGTTCCATCGGTCTCAAACCTGAAGTCTTTGTAACCTTGTTAGAGGGAAAACAAAACAAATCCAGAAGTGGACATATGAGAGGAGTAAAGCTACTGTGCGCTCAGAGTGTGGTCCACAGACCAGCGGTCTCAGCACCACAAGGGAACTTGTTAGAACTGCGGACTCTTGGCCCCACCCCAAAACTAGTGAATCTGAATCTGCAATGTCACAAGACTCCCTGGGGATTCATGTACATATTAAAGTTTGAGAAGTGCTGGGTTAAAATACAGACTAGACAATGGGTTGTATCTTCTTGTCTCTGTGCAGCAGGTCTTGGGTCCGTACTGCCCACAGCCCAAATAAAATCAAAGAAAACACTATGAATTGATTTCTATACCAATGACAAGAATTTAAACAGTCTACACGACAGGGCATCCCGATCTTAGTGTGGCTTCTGGAGTACAGTCGACCCTCTGTATCCGCAGGTTCTGCATCTGCAGATTCAACCGACTGCAGATCAAAAATATTTAGGAAAAAAATGCATGCTTGCATGTGTATGGAACATATACAGACATTTTTTCCTTGTCCTTACTCCCTAAATACTAACAGTACAACTATTTACACAGCATTTATATACTTTATTAGGTATTATAAGTAATCTGGAGATGATTTAAAATATACGAGAGGATGTGCCTTTAAGTTATATGAAACTACTATGCCATTTTATGTAAGGGACTTGGGCATCCTTGGATTTTGGTATCTGAGGGGGTCCTGGAACCAACCCCTCACGGATACTGAAGGATAACTGTGTTGTTCTTTAAAACTGCCAGGTCTGATGTTTTGAAAACACAGTTGAGAAACTTGTTTTTATTTCAATAGCCCATGAAAAGGGTGTAGTGATTTTGTTCTCTTGAGAATAAATCACCCCAGAGCAGGAGGGGACGGCGAGCACTGAATAGCCGAGTAGTTCCTAAAGGCAAGTGACTGCCAAGGACTGGGCCTGGCCTCTCATGCTGTCTTTTGATTAAATGTAATCAGAGTAGGCATTTTAATAACCACTCCAGAGCTTTATAATTTTAAAATCAGGATATAAGAATAAAAAGCCGGAAGTTCAGGACAGGTCCCCATTTGAATTTATCCAACTGCTTGTCCTCAAAAAAGGTCCTGACATCACTCAGCTCTCTAGAACTGTCCAGACACCAGGGCCTTGAGACTAGGAGAAACCCAACAAACAAAAAATTAAAATCTGAAAAATACAATTTCATGTTTTCCAGTGAACCTGATTTATTTTTCCTTGGAGAAATACTGGATACATTTTAAGAGATGAATAACTTGCACATAACTATTGCTACTCTACCTTTTCTGGCCTAAATGATTTCTAAATACTTTAAAATAAAAAACTTCCCGTAGAATCAGACCATTATAATTCCTGCATGCACCTAGGTAGAAGTCCAAGAGGGAAAATAGGCCTTTTCTTGAGTGCCAGCTCTGATCAACTGTTAGTGGCTGAGCTGAGATTTCTAAGGTTCAGTAACAGACAGTGTTGATTGATTACGGATTGGTGTGGGGGAGAGGAATGGGAGATGCGGGCTTTGCAGTCACATATCCAACAGTCCCAAGCTGAATATTTACTATGAGCCATTCAATTATGATTTATCTCATCTATAAAGATATAGTACTGTAGCTAAAATAGCATCTAATAATCTTTTTTTCTTCCCTGAATACATTCTGCCCAGATAAAATACCTTATAATCTCAATTTTGAGAATTTAAGTCCTTAATATTTAATAGACAGATCATATTTTTAGTCTTTTTGTGATTCTCACAGCTTAGTCAGAAATATCCAGTTGGAAATAAATGAAATAAATATGCATTTCTAAATGCTGGTAGGAAGACAAAAACCATATAAAATATATACTGTAGTCATTTAAAAAAGTATTTTCTGCTATGAGGCAGATTTAATTGATAAATTTAAGGAGCCTTTCCCAATATCTGAAATGTTTTTTAATTGTGTTACTGGTTCAGTAATAATCAACAATATCAAGCAATTAGATTAATTAATGAAAGCAACAGGATATATGATATCTGTTAATTGAGAATATTCAGAAATGGAAAAAAAAGTTTGCCAGCTTCTTTCTAGAGCAAAATATTCTTCTGGAGCACAACTCTCATTCATTGAACATCCACACAGTGAAATCACCAAAAACAACACACCTTTACGCCCAGTAGACATTCTGAAAGCAGCAGTTCTCAAGTTTCTGTCTCAGGGCCCCTTTACACTCTTAGTAATCAATGAGTATTCCCAAAGAGCTTTGCTTATGTGTGTTATATTATCCATATGTCATATTAGAAATTAAAACTGAGAACATTTTAAAACAAAAGAATACAAAAGTACACATTCCATATAACCTCTGGAAGACTTTACAGTACACTCATAAAAAAATAAAAGTGAAACATGCAAATTATATTTTAGTGTTATTATGAAAGTAGTGTTGACTTCACGGATTCAAAGATCTAGGGGACTTCCAGGGGTCCCTGGGCCACACTTTGAGAACTGCTATCTTCTGAAGGTCAGAAAAATAAGAATTCAAACACGGAAGACTCGGTGAAACACTATGTTTGGACGAATAGGTAGAAAGTATCATAAACTTGGCAATTTATAAGCATTTCAAACAAGTTTTTACAGAAGCATTAAAGGAGAGAAAACATCAGAGTATGTCAGCTCTCTCTCTATATATATAAAGTCCTAGAAAACGGGAAGAATATGTACTTTTGCTGACTAGCTATGGCTAGAAAAAAGTCCCTAAAAGAATGAAATAATTTTTTAAGTGTGAAATAAACACTCAAAACATAGCTGTTGTTTTCAGGAAGAAGTGGGAAGACTGTTAGACTCAGATAAAAATGATAAGCTTGTATACAGTCAGATAGAGTGGCGTGCTCGTGTTTTCCATGAGTTCAATAAAAAGAAAAGAAACCTTTCCAGTAAGTGAGAAAATCTTAAGTTTCATTAGCAAACTCTGTGTCTGAATCAGATATCCTTTCCCGTGGGGCCCAATCAATACCCATTATTCGTACATACTCTCTATGTTTATTGAAATCTGTGTAAAATCTGTTTATAAGAGAGTGAGGAAATAAAGCTCAGAGGTCTATGAAAAAACCGAAGTAGTGTTATCTGTCAAGGTCTGTGGCGTGAACTGTTTTAGAGCCAAGATTCCAGAGTGGAGATGTAAGCAATGATTATGGCTATTTATAGGATTAAAAAAGGAGCAGTAGAATGTTAAACACTAAAAAAATCGCATAATGCCACTAAATATAGATCTAAATATAGAATACCTTATGTGTCTTAGAACATGTCCTTCTTTCAGCACAATGTTAGGACGTTGGCGGTAGATTTAACACCAAAAAAAAAAAAAAAAAAACCAAAAACAAAACCTGCCAGGTGCAGTGGCTCATGCCCGTAATCTCAGCAACTCAGGAGGCCAAGGCTAAAGGATCACTTGAACTCAGGTGTTGGAGGCCAGCCTGGGCAACATAGCAAGACCCACCTCTACAAAAAATATAAAAAAATTAGCCAGGCATGGTAGGGCACCTGTAATCCCATCCAGCTGGGAGGCTGAGGCGGGAGGATTGCTTGAGCTCAGGAGTTGGAGGCTGCAGTGAGCTGTGATTGCACCACCGCACTCCGGGCAGAAAGAGAAAGTTTCATAATATATGCTACCTTGTCCAGCTTTTAATTCACGAGGCAGACACCCAGGAGACTGTTGGCACCTTCTGATTTCCTAGTATCTGTACTTTCATCTGTCTTTTTCCCTATTAATTTACTCTTTATTTTCCTTTTCTTTTCTATGACTCAAAGAGGGGAGAGAGACTGGATCAAGCCAGTGAAAGCTGGTGGGACCCTGATAATCATCCTTTTCTGTTTCAACTCATGCTGCAGTGACTGCACAGTGGGAAACTTGGTGGAACTGAGGCACGGTGCCCCTCCAGGGGCTGGGCTGGGGGGACAGCAGAAGCAAAGGGATGAAACAGGGGAAACACAGAAGTCTGGGGCTTGCAGCCCAAATCTCTACTTCTTAGTGATGTGCCCTCACCTAACTGTCAACCTTCATGAGCCTCAGTTTTTTCACCTGTATAATGGGGATATAAAAAGTACTAACTTCAAAAGGTTGTTGTGAGAATATATTGAACAATATATGTAAAAGCACTTTATAAACTTCAATTCATTGGGGGAACAAAAGGCAGTCACTATAACATGGCTGGAATAGGACTGCTATACGAGGAAGCTGGGTTCACTGTAAGTAAGATGCCAAAGCGTGGTTTCACAACCAATGCTTCACCAGTGACTTAGTATAATACCGACTTCTCAAAACTGTCTTATCCATGATAGACAGAGTCAAGTCAAAAATACTTTTAGCACCTCAGAAACCATCCTGAGTAAACCACTGACAGGTGCAAAAACTCCTCATTCTTTATTCCATGTTAGGCAACCTACTTGGTAAGTGGGTGTTTTCCTTACACATAAGCTAGCTTGCTTTAGGTTCAAGACACTGAAATTTGGGGACGCCAAAGTATTATAGAATAGCATTATCCCACAGTGGAAAAAGTAGGCATGCTTGAAGTTTCTAATTTCAATTTGCATGGAGCAATACTTGAAACAAAAAAATCCCATCTGTGGCAGACAGATTCTAAGACAGCTCTTAGTGATCCCACCTCCTGGAGTCAACGCCTTGTGTGATCTGCTCTTGTTGCACATGGGTGGGACCTGTGATTTGCTTCTAACCAACAGAAATGGCAGTGGTGACTGGATGTCACTTTCATAAATTGCTTACATAAGGTTCTGACTTGCATCTTGCTAGCAGATTCTCTCACCGGCTTTGATGAACAAGCTGCCGTGCTGTGAGCTGCCCTACGGAGAAGCCCACTTGGCAAAGAACTGAGGCCCCTGGTCCAAGAGCCAGCAAGGAACCCATCCTGCCAACAACCACATGAGCTCAGAAGTGGACCCTTACCCAGTCAAGTTTCAAGTTAGACCCCCAGCCCTGCCTGACACCTCGGTGGTAGCTATACAAGAGACCCTGAAGCAGAGAACTCAGCCAAGCTGTGCCTTGATTCCTAACTCTCAGAACCCGTACAATAATAAATGTTGTTTCAGGCTGTTCAGTTTGTAGTAATTTGTTACACAGCAATAGATCACTAGTACACCATCCAAGCCCAAAATAAAGCCAAGACAGGAAAGCACATTTAAGTTTTCCCATTAAGATGACAACATTTCATATTGGGAATTTGCTAGTTTGAAAAGATGATAATTTAATGCGACATCATTTCCTCTCTCTGGGTCTCTCCTCTCAACTTGATTCCTTAGTTCCAGCGTGTTAAGAAATCACAGCAGCCTGAAATTTTCTCCCCTCTTAACATATCATAAAGAATCCCAATTTCAAAGCTTATTTGTCTCAAGTTCAATCTCATCCAACTACAAAATGAAGAACTTTAAAAGCCTTAAAAAAAAAAAAAACAAAAAACTGGTATTTCCAAACGAACTCCCTACCGTTCCTAGCTCCTGAGGTCTATGTGGTCTCTTTAGCTACACGTTCACTTCCTTAGACACACGAGTCAGTTTTTAGACTCCTGCAAATAATTCTTTTCTGCATTAAAAGCTTCAGTTGTTACAGCTTCAAAAAACTGCAAATCGTTCTTACTTACATCTGGAAGTCTGTATAGCTTCATTGTTCTCTGTAAAGTCATATTTCTACTCAAGTGAGAAAATTTCACTTCTACCAATTTTCTGGGGTTTAGTGATCGATGCCAGTATCTGGAATACAATAAAGGTTTTAAAATCTAATTGATCTCTAACTCTACAAGTTTTCACTCTTTGTCTCAGCTCAGCTGTTACATAAGCATTTACTGAATACTTATGTTGTGCCTGGTGTAGTGCCGGATGCTGGTCTTCTTCCTATGCAATAATTTTATTAGTCAGTTTTTTATCTCTTGCATTCCTAGTTATGTTCCTTTGGAGTTTGTGACCTTCCATCTCTTTCACTAAAGAGGAATCTTAAAATCACAAAAGAGATATTCATCATGCCCAGCTCTGAAGTATTTAATGATCATCGTTGATTCTACAAAAGGCAAACCAAAAAGCTTAAAAACATGAAAACAGTTCCCCTGAATTAGCAGCCTTCACTTTTACAGAACACACACCAAAGAAAACTTCTTGAATTCAACTAGCTTGAATTTCTTAAGTGATTCCAGTTTGGGTACTGGGATAAATGATTTGTATTACAATATACCTGTGAAGTCTTTTATTATTACTTATAAATGTAAGAATTTAATAGGATATAGTAATTTTACAGTGTTATAGTTTATACTATGTTTAAAGTTTCATCCTATTTGAGTCAATAAAATCAGTGGAGGGAGATAAGCTCTTTCTGATGTTTTAGAAACAGGTTAGTCCAGTGGCAATCCGATCATTTTCTCACTGGAATAACCTTTGAAAGCTTGACCAGAGTAGATGGAAGCTGTAAAAACAAAGCTCAAGCCTTCCTCTCACCCTGAGCACACGAGTACACCTGCAGCCTTTCAACTGCTGTTTACGTGGCTTTTGCAGCGGTTCGGTAGCGCTGCAAAGCATGGCAGAAAGCTGAGTGCTGGGCAGAAGGAAATGGCACGACACTGGACATTTCAAGGTCACAATGTCCTAGGGCTCCCCATGCGGAGACAGCACTAGGCTTTCACAAGGACTAGAAACACAAGTCTAGATCCAGCATCATAAGCAGGAAAATGTTATGAACTTTTTTTTTTTTAATCACTAAGTGGCTGTGTAAGATACTGGAAAGAATACTGGACTCGGTGGTTTTAGGTTCTCTGCAGCTACCAACAAACTACATAATCCGGAGTAAGGCAAAATGCCTGTGAGTTACACCTGAGCAGAATAATACTTCTAGCAAAGGGCAGTGAGGCTCACCACAGCTGGTAAAGGAGAGACCCGAGGTAGGGATGTGGTGTCATTACCTGCACGTGGCCACCGGCTTGGGAAGAACGACTCCGGCGGTATACACGGCCTGAAAGATTCCTTCCAGGTTCACTCGTCTAGTTATCTCTCGGATTAACACTGGGGCCACCCGCTTTGACCTCAGTTTCTTATGGACACAAAGAAAGTTGATTTCTACCATTTTCTTCACACTAAGAAATAAAGATGTTGAAAGTTAGAGCCCATACAAGATAAACGCATTTTAAAAAACAGACCACCACACATAAAATTGCGAAGATTTAAGAACGTGAAAGGTGTCCTTTAACACAATATTTAAGAAAATATATTCTATCATTTAGACATTTTGCAAATTCAGATTGAAACACTACTCCCCTGCTAAAATGACTGTAACTCTAGGCCACGGAGGCTCAAACACTCGTGTTCTAAATACATTTTAGGACTTTTGTCTTTTGCAAGTTTTCAATTTGGAAACCGGATCAGATGTGCCCCTTAAAGTTTCTGTATCTGTTTCTCCTATAATAATTATGGTGGTAAGTGGGTCAGTGTGGCATAGGATCTGATAAGACGTTGCTTTGGAGTATAATACAAATCCCCAGGATTGCTGAGAGGGGCCCTGACCAGACCTCAAAGCCTGTTCCTGGCTCTGCTTTCAGGTAAGCAGGCATTTCACTTGGGGCATGATATTGCTTGAGATCAGATGCTTTTAGCAATAAATAAGCTAACCTGATACACAGAGAAGTAAACAGACCTATTATGCATTAGATCTTTGACTTCCTGGGCGGGAGATCAGAGGAAAAATACAACATACTTATGCTATGGAGAGAAAGTTTTTATCCCTCCTAAAATTTTTCTTCAGTAATTTTTTTCCAGAAATAAACCTGAAATACCCGTTTACGGCTTTGTTTATTCTGAGACATACATATACACACATATATGTATATGTACATAATATATAACATGCACATGTATGAAACTGAGAGAGAAAAAGGGAGAGATAAAGAGAGAAAAAGATCATTGTCCTTTTTATTGGGTTCACTGTTCAAGGTTTTCTTCTTTACTAATTAATAAACTTTACTAATTAATAAACTGGTTTAGAGCAGTTTTAGGTTCACAGCAAAACGGATCGGAGTTCCCCTGCAGCCCGACCCCACACATGCACAACCTGCCCCACCACCAGCAGCTCCCATCAGGTAATTTTAAAAAGCCTTTTCTGACCGCAATTCTTGGAAAAGAAACACACAGAAGCTGGCACGGACAAGCTTTGATGTGTACCTGTCATAAATCCGAATGTTCGCTGGGATGGCGCTTATGAACCCCACCAGTTTTTTATTTGAAGACACTCTGACCCCACAGTGCCACTGGAGGAGCCAGCCTGGGGGACGCAGAGCCCTGAAGTCAGGGTGGACAAGAGAAACAGGCACCAGTCAGCGTCCGAGAATGTGGGAACAGACACGGGAGCTCCCAACCCAACCCCCGCTGTCCACGGCATTCGTGACCAGCGACACTCACCACAACAGGAACTCGGGCGAGTAGTCAAAGCGGAACATGTTGTCATCATCTTCCACGTAATTCTCATTCAACAACGTGTACAACTCCTTGAGCTACGAGATAAAACCAGCGTCCTATCTACATGCTCAGAACCAACTCACGAGCAATATTTGTGAACGCAGGGGTTGAATTCAAGAGTATACTCACCACCTCGGCATTACTCAAGTCTAAAGTGTCCCACATGAAACCCTGTGGCAAAGAATATGGTTCTTGGCGTATATTGTCCTTATCTGGTTCAATTGCACCATGAGATGTTATGACTTCATCTGGGTAGGGAGAGAAAGAGAAAAAGATAAGACAAAAAGAAAAAAAATTAAATTACAAAGTATCCTGACAATCCAAAATGGTCAGTGACATAAACAGAATCAGACTTAGGGCCCCTAGGCTTTATATAATCTTTAAAAAGATGCTATAGCTTCAGCTACTTCTGGTCTGAAACAGGGAAGCTGGGCAGCGGTGTGAAATAACTGCTACTTCACCAACTAAAGGGGAAATCCTTTGTCCTTTGGAGACAGACAAGACATTACGAAATGATGGTGAGTTCTGAGTCTCAACTTTACAACGCAGATTTATCAGACACACCATCATAAGCAGTGTGGGTTTGATACGACAGTCTGAGGATGTTCTCTTCTTACTCTGCATTTCCACAAACTGGGGTGGGGGGAAGGGCTGCGGTGACCTCTGCCCCCTCCCAGCAAAACCTAAAAGTAATTTCAAGATCGGTTACTTCTCCCTGTCTATACTGCTAGCAGCACAGTCCAGGCCATCAGCGTCTCTCACAATTTCTACCACGATGCCTTTTTCCAGTTCATTCTCTGTAGAGCTCGCCAGTGCGGTGGGAACAGAACCTGGGCTCTGTGCGTGGTTGCTACCTGCCTCGCCCCAGCCCAGGGCCTTACTGGCATCTTTCCTCTCCTGGAGGCCCCCTGAAATCCTCAGATGGAAGCTTACACATCGCTTTCTCATAGCCTCTTTCCATGACTAAAGCTTTGTGCTGCCTCAAGTATGTCCTCCCTCCACCCCCTGCCTGGCTGCCTTCTGTCCTACTTTTCCACTGCTGTTTCCCTGGTATGGGATGGACGCCGCGCTGTGCCTGGCACTTAATAACAGACACGCAACAAACACCCTCTGCGTGAAGGACCCTCAGGGCCCAGTTTCCCATCACAGAACCCTCTTGCAGGTGGAAGTCACAGGGTTTGCACCAGCTCCAGTGGGTTTATTTTTCTCTTCCTTCTAATCCCTAACGTGGTTACGTGTTCCCCAATTTCCCAGTTAATCTCCACCGGATACCCTGGGATTCCTCAAGTTGGCCCAAGTGGACAAATTCCCAGTCACTCCCATACAGAGTCCCCGTGACCACTGCCTAAGGTATGGTTCTCACAAAGCAGTCCCGGGACAATCCCGTGCAAGCGGCTCTGAACAGACAGGTGTGTTTGGACTGAGCTGGGACACCCCTTGGGATGGGCAGGCATGGGGAGACAGAGCCCCCTGTGACTTCCTGATGTTTTCCCCGACCTCCAGCTCACTGTCCCTCCACCAACCTGGCCTCCCCCACCTACTCAGGCTTCAACTACATTGAGCTGCGTACCAAGAACGCAAGGACTGGAGACCCACACAAGGTAGGGAAGGGCCACAGCTCGGGAGCTCCTGGGCCACCTTCCCAAAGAGGTGCCCTGTGGTTTCGTGCTGGCTGGAAGTGGCTTTCTTCTCCGCAGAGTGGACCTGCAGGTCTCCGAGCAGTGCTGGGTTAACCTCGATGTGTTCAGATCGATATGTAGAGAGCCCTTTAGCTAATGTCACTCAATTCGGTGTCACTAAATATCCTGTCAATTCATTCTAAAGAGTCTTCCTCCACTACTAAAGACATTTCTAGAGCTTGAAGAAGAAAAAGGGCAAGCTAAGATCATTTCTCTTTTTTCTTTCACATTCAGAAGTATGTTCTTTTTAAGTTGTTTGGGGTGGGGAAGGGTGGCAGAGGAGCGGTAGCTTTAAAAAAGTTTGAGAACCAATATTCGAGGGTGCAGAGAAGAATTGTTCCCTGATTTACATTTGACAAAAGATTACTTATATATAGCTGAGTAATTAGGGGTTGTGGATGGCAATTAACCCTTATATGATATAGATTCTAGAACCTGATCAAGGAAAAAAAATAAAAATAATTGTATGATACTCTATACGCACACAAGAAAAAGCAGCAGGTGTACGCTGTAGTACATTTCTGAACATTTTTATGGCATTTGTAACATCATCTTTTTTTGCCCAACATGAAAGAGGAACAATGAAAGTGCAATTACGGCAACTTCACTGGTGACAGTCCAAGTGACACAGGAGGAAGCAGGCACCATGCCAGAAGGGGTCCTGTGGTCGCCTCCTAGAGGAACCAGAGCCCTTCGAGGGCCTTCACGAGGCGCCCTAATTCCCTTACGATACTGAAACATTATAAAGTTCACAGGCATGAACAGCACTGGCGATATTTAACAGATACTAATTAACACCACTGGTGAGCGTTCAGAATCCTGTTGATAAATAGTTCAAAACTTGCCATTTCAGTAAGACAGAATCGAGCAAAGTTTTTGAGTCTTTTGGAATAACTGAGGAGTGAAACTGCTCAAAATTTATTTTTATATATACAGGAAAAACAACTCCATGAAGCCCAGGAAGAAAGAATGAGGGTCAGGGAACCCCTCTTTTATATACATTTTTAAGACTCTAATTCATAAGCATGGGGAAATTGGGTGTTATTATAGGGATAGGAATTGGACTAAAATCACTGTTATCAAAAGCCAATGTCATTACCTAATATTTATATTTTAAAAAGAAAAATATTACTTTTGTGTAAATTTCAAATCTGTGGTATGAAACAAATGATATACATGAAGTAAAGTGTCTTTTGTGATTTTTATCTGTTGGTCCCGTTTTGTTTCTAGGAAGGAAAAAAGAAAAAAAAAAAGCAGGAAGCTTACTTAGTTTGGGTACCGGCTGTGTGTCCCAAAACTGGTATCTGTGCTTTGCAGCCTCGTCAATGTTCCTGGCGGGGCCCTGGCAGGCGTACAACAGCTCCATTGCTCTCTGGATATGCTGCAACTTCTGCATGGGAATGCTGGGATTCTACAAGAGCAAAGACACAGACACAAACCATGAGAAAGCTGTTGTGCTCTTAAACTTGGGGCAGATGCCCACGTATCTTCCTGGGAGACTACAATACCCAAAAACTAGCAATCCTCCTCCAAGGCTGGTCAAGGCCATGGGCTCAAGTGTGTTACATACGAAAACATAAGCACTCATCTTCTGTTAAAGACAACGACAGTTCTATGGTTTGTTTGGGGAATGTAAGGAAATCGAAGCCAAGTGTTCTCTGCTTCCGTTTCCCATCCACCTGCAAGTGGTCCCCGGCATTCCCCCTCTGGGGGAGAAGCCAAAGGAGTGACGTGCGATGCATGCATTACTGTCACACAGCAGCCAGGCAGCCGCGGGCCTTGGGTGCACCGTCAGGGAAAACGCTCTGCAGAAGCAATGTGGGGATGAGGGAAATAACTTCTAGAATGGAAACTAGGCAGACGGAGGAAACTGTAGTTCATTTAAAAGAAAAAAAAAAAGAAAGAAAGATATCTGCACTTAATGCTGAGCTGGAAAGGAAATGATCAAGAAAGGAAACCTCTAACTAAGCCCCTTCCTCCTACATACCCTGTGCCCCTCTCTAGATACTCACGATCCTCTCGAGATAAACCCTCCAGCCACAAGGAAGAGCAGTTTCCTCTGGAAATTCAGATCCTTGACAACCATACCCGTTGTCCCCAACCCAAGTGTTGGAAACTAAGCCTCCTTTTTAGGTAAACCACATTCTCAGTCTATAAAATGAACAATACCTTTAAACTCTAAAGTTCCTTTCTCAAAGCCAAGATTCCCATCCTCATTTGAAGATTCCCTGGCTCTTTTCCTTTAAATTCCTCAAATAATGTGATAATCCATAGAACATGAGACTGTACTTGACAGGAGAGGGCAGTGCAGGGGACTGAATGTGGACATCAGTGACTTTTTCCAACATGCAGAATGACTGAGAAGTGGCAGAATTTTGATACCATACAAACAATATTCTTTGCTGCAATTCAGAAGCAGTTGTGAGAAACATCAGAGCCCTTTGGTTTTGTTGTATGTCAACAAACCGTGGACACCAACGAAAGGTACAATCGACCCTCAGTGGTTTGTAAACAGTGACTGTGGACTTATGTTCAACTTGGACTCTGAAATCTGTGGTCTGGAGCAAATCCGTTTAACCTGGGAAGCCTACTCGTCTGACACAGAACAGAACAGGGTTTATTTAATACAGATTTTCCTGCGGTTGCATTTTTTGCTGGGTTTTCTTAGGGTTCTTGACACTAAAATGATGCAAGAAAACAAAGTCCTGAAGTCTAACTGGAGGCAGGATGAAGTCTTCATGTTTCCCCTTAGAAGTCTAACGGCATAACCCAGGATTGCCACAGTGTTTGTAAGCTGTTTTTGGGTTTTGTTTTGTTTTTTTTTCTGTTAGACAGTTTTCCTCTGTTAGATATGTAAGATGTTTATCTCACATTTTGATTTGGATCAAAATCATAAGGTTCGTATCTTAATGACATACAAATTTAACAAAGTACTTTTCTTCCAATTCATTGTATTTTTGGATTATTTGCTCTAGTTTCTTGTAAGTGACCAGAGGCAGGAGAAAGGCTTAAAATCAGCAGGGTAGAAGGGAAGGGCAGAAGCTGATGGTGATGGTAGAAGCAAAGGAAGATGTCCACACAGCAGACGAGGGATGCTGCGTTTATCTGATGAAGCAACACTGAGAAACCGGAAGAATATTTTGCAAGCTTATAGTGGCATCCTCCTACAAGTTACCTTGGAAAATTATGTCTAGTGGATAGAATATTTATTACCTGAAAATCAAGTTGAAAAGCTAGGGAGGAAGACTCCATTTTCTTCTCACCCCACCATCAGTCAGAGAAAAACTGGGGCAAGGCATTTTCCTTCTCAGTGATTCCTGGTCCTTTTGTGTGAACAGGTGACGACGACAACAAAAAAACTACCTGCCAGGCTCACTCCATGCGATGGAAGATAAACTTTGCATAAGGAAAAAAAAATGTAAACCCACAAAACTTGCATCATGGTAGTAATTGCCACATACACAGTGTTTTATAATGTAAAAACTCTTTAATTAAAAAAATGGTCATATTTTAACCTTGTGACGGCCCTGTGAGTTGGGGAGAAGGCATCATCCCCGTTTCACAGGTAAGGAAATGGGCTGAAGGAGGGACAGCACCTGGGCCAAAGGCACACAGCTCATGAGCAAAGGAGCGAGGAGGTCTCTGATGCCGCCACCCTGAGCCATGTCTGTGACACCACACACTGTCCATGATAACTGACCTGGAGCTACAATCATCAAAATCATCTCTACTCCATTATCCTTCCAATTTTACCCTTTCACTGTGAGGTTCGTGCATCAGGAGGGCTTTGTGCTTCCTGGAGGCTCAGCACACAGAACACCTGGGGCCTGACTCCACAGACGGGGGTGGTTGCCATCTGTGCCACCAGACGCCCGCGTGGCACAACCAACCCTCTGCTCGGCCAGCCGTGTGCCAACACGGGGCCCAGCTGGATGATTTCTGGGTTGGTCTAAAACGGGTGTTTCTTCAGGGAGAATGTTAGGAGGTATTTCCCACCCTTGGCCACAGAAGGAAGGGTGGCCACCAAAGACGGGTCTGAGTCAAAGTCAACATTGGACTTACCCACGGCTTCTCTCGCTGAACTCTGCTGCCAGATGGTGTTGTGCTATTCAGGTAATTAGACAGACACCCAGAAAAATTAAAATGTGAATATCTTCTGAACGAAGAGTCATCAAATTATCAAGTGTAACTTCAAAAAAACCTAACAAGCTCACACTGACACTTTCTTCTACGACTATAATCTAAATACGCATTCACTTCAAAGGGGGAAATACAGGAGCTATGCACGTACACACAAAAGCGCAGTGTAGCTCTCAGTTACTTGGGTGCCACAGGCAGTTTTAAGGAGGCTATAAATTCCCACCAGTGACTGGTGCCATTCAACACACGGTCACAACAAAACCCTCACACATCTGATGCACCAGGGTGCTAAGCTGCGTAAACCCATCCGTGCAGGAGACACTGCACAGGTGGAAATAAAACGCAGCTCTCACCTTTGGAGGCTGCTGAATTTTAATCTCCTGGGAATCAGATGCGGAGTCTGACTTGGTACCCCCGGAATATGGTTTCTCCTTTTTTCTCTTCTGTTTCTTCTTTTTCTTTTTGGCTCCCAAATCCCCTCCGGGACTTCTGCAGGAATTGCAAGGGGGGCAGGCCAAAAAAAAGTCACTATATAAAAGTGAATTGCATAAAATTAATCATTTAGAAAAATACAAATGTTATACATGGTAGAAAATAACTAAGTTAGGATGTAAATGGGAAATGAAAGGTAGTCAGGTTATGATGCTAACGAAGGAGAAATTACTCCACACACTGCTGCAGGGGTGATGAGATGTCATTTAAGCAGGAAAATTATAGAAGTAAACCATATTTTACAACTGAAGTTAAATAGTATTCACAGATATCACTGCTCTACTAATCTACTTTTTTGTCAGCCTTTTGAGGGAGAGATACAATAATGCAAAACATTCCATACAAACATCTCTTGTGTACAACAAACCACTAATCTCCTAAGCAACAGCACTAAAGAAACTTCTTTTCCGCAGAGGAGGAAATTTTTCCCGATAAAGATTTTTACCAGCAGGGCTAACGATAAAAAAAAAAAAAAACTCTAAGCGAAAAAAACATTAACTGGTGAAACATTTCCGTTTGGAACTCTTGTCATTTTGCAGCTGTCATCTTCTGAAAAAGCAAATGGAAAAAAAAAATAAAAAGGACACAAGGAGATTTAAATTTTCCATTTATTTGGGCCTATTCTACCACAAAATCCCTGGAAGGTAAATTAAAATTTAAAGTCAGAGATTATTAGTGCATTATTGCCCGATATAGGGAAAAGTGATGCAATCGGTTTCTGTCTATTGCTCTAAATCAATCAGCTCTATCTGTTGCTATCTTTTTTCCCGTGGGTTTTATCTAATTATCACACAGGTATTTATTATATGAGACTCAAACGTCACTAATATATATTAACGGCCTTATAATATTGGCCCTCAAAGGCAACCAATTGTTTTCCTGCTATACATGCTTTTGAAATTGTCTTTCTTTTCTACATATGTCCTCGTTTTCACAATGAGTGATTTTTAAACAAAAACAGAATCTAAAACATACCACTTGCTTCCCTCCTCCCCTTCCACTTAACAAAATATCTGAGAGTTATTTTCATGTCGGGATGTACAGCTGACTGTTGAACAACGCCAGTTTGAAGTGGGTGGGTCCACGTATATGAAGATTGTCTTCCACCTCTGCCACTCCACAGACAGCAAGACCAACCTTTCCTCTTCCTCCTCCTCCTCCTCCTCCTCAGCCTCCTCAATATGTGAAAACGATGATGACCAAGACCTTCATGATGATCCACTTCCACTTAAGAAACAGTAAACAGATTTTCTCTTCCTTATGATTTTCTTAACATTTTCTTTTCTCTAGCTTACTTCACTGGAAGAATACAGCATATAGCACACAGAGTGCACACAATATGTGTTAATTGACTGTTTACATTATTGGCAAAGCTTCCGGTCAATAGTAGGTTATTAGTATTAATAGTTGAGTTTTGGTGCAGTCAAAATTATACGTGGATTTTTGGCTGCATGGGGTCTGCACTCGTAATTCCCACGTTGTTAAAGGGTCAACCGTATTGAGCTACCTCCTTTCTTTTTAGCAACTAGACAGCATTCCACTGTGCGGACAGATCACATTTCATTGAACTATTCCTATAGTAAAAAAACCCTGCTATGAAAAAAAAATATTCTGGTACTTCTTTGTGCATTCAAGCTAGTATAGCCAAAGGTGGAAATGCTAGGTCAAAGGGCATGCACATTTTTGGTTTTAATAAATACTTAAGACTGCTTTCCTAAATACTGTGCCAACGTCCACCCCACCAGCAGTGTATCAGAGCATCGGTTTCCCTAGGTCTTTGCCAGCACTGAGACAGTATCGTCCTTTTTCATCATCAACAGGTAGAAACGAATCTCACTGTGGACTTAAGTTTTCGATTATTTAATCAGGAGTGAGGCTATACATCCTTTCATGTGTTTATTGACCATTTATATTTCTTCATGAATTGCTCATATATATCCCCTTCCTATTAGCCATCTTAAAAAAATGACTTGTAGGTGTTCTTTATATAGCATGGATAGCATCTATTATTTATTAAGTGTTTACTTTGGGCACTTAATTCCATTTACAACAGCCCTAGGAGAGAAATACTACTTTATGTTTGTATTACAATGCCGAGTTTGTTGTCTGTTATTTAGATTGCAAACACTTTACTCAGGTTATTTTTTTAGCTCTTACAAAGGCCCTGCCTATTCCACAATTACATAAATATCCTTTTATACTTTTCTATCATTTTAATGGCTTTTAAGAAAAATAGCTTCCTAACCCCTTTGGAATAACGTGTGTACAATGTGATGTACTGTGCCTTTACTTGCCAAATAATTATAAATACAAGAAAGCCCCATTAGAACACAATTTGTTAATACAGGGTCAAACTGTACTAACAAACACCGTTGCTACTGCAGAGACCAACAGAACAGAGAGGCTGGCAGGCCCACTCATTGGATACTCATTCATTCACTCGACAGTTACATAGTGAGGCCCATCTTGTGCCAGACACTGCTCCAGGTGCAAGGAATTTTAAGATGTATGGAAATTCTTTGATGCTTCTGTCATAGAGAAGTTGGGTCTCTTCCCCTCCCATTGGATCTGGGTCAGCTTGCCTGTGATTCGCTGATAAGGCGCAGAGGAAGTGACACTATGTGAGTTCCGAGGCTCTTCGGTTTCCCCCTGGTTCCCTTGGGATGCTCACTCTGGAAGAAGCCAGGAGCTGTAGAAGAAGTCTGGCTGCCCTGAGACCACCAGGCTGGGGGACAGTTCTGTAGACAAAGCAGCTGAATTTCCAGGCAGCAGCCACTGTCCACCACTGGTGGCCCACGGGGGTGAGTGGCCTCAGACAATCGGCTCAGCCTAGTCTGCAGGTGACTGCACCGAGGCAACACCTGACTGCACAGGTATGAGAGGCCCCAAGTGAGAAGCTGCCTGTGCCTACTTCCTGACCACAGAGTCTGTAAGTGGCTGTTGTTTTATGTCACCCAGTTTGTGATGATTTGCTATGTAGCAATAAATAAAGGAACAGAAATTTGGTGTATGAAAGTGGATGGATGTTGTGATTAACAACAAGCTAAACCAGGTGGCACTAGCCTTATGACCGGGTGGCAGACAGAGCTGGAGATACATGGAGGAACCTGCCGGGGAAGCTGCGTGACCTGAGGAAGCCGTCAGTGAGGGTGCAAGGTAACGTGAACGCCATCAGAAGACTGAGGAACGGACACCTCTGTCATGGAGCAGGGGAACATTTACAAAACTGTTGCCAGCAATAACGTGGAAAATAGAAAAGGTACCTAATGAACTTCATGATCTAACTAAGAGGTGTGCAAAGAGTTGAAAGTGCTGTCTATAACAAAACGAGAAAGGAAAGATTAACTAAAGAAGGACTATTCAGGTCTTAAGTAGAATTTGGAGAAAATATAAACCCAGCCCTCACTTGCTAGATTCAAAAATAAAGCTGTTCCTCCTCCCCAACATCTCTGGAGGGCAAAGGATTAGCACATTAAGTAACATCTTGGGACAAAAAAATAAATAAAAAATCCAGGGTGGACCTGTGAGACCTCTTGTTAAGACCTCAGAAAGATCTAATCAAAAGGCCTTCTGAGTTTCTGAAGGACGTACCTTGTATATCTTCCCTTTAAACAATATGGCTCCTAAGAATTTAAAAAAATTTTTTGTTGTTAGACACAGCATCTCACTCTGTTACCCAGGGTGGAGTGTGGTGGTGCAATCATAGCTCACTGCAGCCTCAAAATCCTGGGCTCAAGCGATGCTACTGCCTTAGCCTTCCAAGTGGCTGGAACTACAGTAACGTGCCACCATGCTTGGCTAATTTTTTTTGGGTAGAGACACGGTCTCACTGTGTTGCCCAGGCTGGTCTGGAACTTCTGGCCTCAAGCAATCCTCCCACCTTGGGCTCCCAAAGTGCTGGGATTACAGGTGTGAGCCACTGTGACTCACCTTCTAAGAATCTTAAGGGCATTGTTCCATCACTACCTCACAGGGAACCCAAGGTTAAGTAAAACTTATCTCCAAGATTTGTAGGTGTGGCTTTTGTCTAATGCTGTGGACTATAAATCAGCACACAGGAAGCCCATGACATTTTCAAAGGAACTGTATCAGCTTGAGAGTGGCAGAACAGAACAGATAAACAAGATGTGTCACAGTGAAATGTCAGAGATATCAACTGTTAAACTTAGTACTTAAGGAAATCGGACATTCCATACTTAATAACCTAACATTAAAGTAATAAACTTTTTAATTTAAAATGGATGAATTATTCCTCTGTAAGTCAAAATACGAAAGATATGTTCAACAGTGAGAGAAACTGTTTAAGAACTAAGCACTTGAGCTATAGATTCATATTTCCATTCTAATTCTTAAATAGAAAACAGTGCTCCTTTTTGGAGATATATTAAGATCTTGTCAAGCGGTACCCAAGTGGTCTAAAAATAGTAAGGCATTCCCACCCCAAAACGAGCAGTTTATTTTCATCAGTGTAATCAAACTTGTACTATCATGATGTTTATATTTAAAATCATCTGGTGGCTAAGGACACCCATAAATATCTGACTAGCAGTTAGGCTTACACAAACATATCACAGCCAGGTACCATACATAAATGCTGTGGATATGTATGGTTTTATATATATTCTGATTTGGGAGTAGGAATAGTTTAGGCTGTCCTCCCTCAATTTTCCTAGGGGTGGCACTTTGTAAAGTGGTGAACCTGCTGGATTGTTACTGTTTAGTGTGTGTGTGTATGTGTGTGTGCTTTACAGAAGAAATCTATTCAAAACTGCATCCCTAAGGTCTATACTGCCTCACATTAGAAGATATTAGTAACCAATGCCTCTTGAATGAATGAAAGAATAATTCTGGCTCTTGAGGTGGTTCTAATCACATATTATTAATATTAATTAATAATTATTAGGTAAAATATTAATACCTCTGAAAGCTACAATTCTCCTAACCTTGATGGTAAAGGCTATTGCAATTTATTATCGAGCACTTACCGCATACTATGG